ATAGATAGATAGATAGATAGATAGATAGATAGATAGATAGATAGATAAGGAAACCCATCCACATTTTCTTTTTAGCTTCTAGTCCTGGTTCTTTCTCCACAAACCCTTCCCAACCTCTTGCCCTGGGGACAAGCTTTCTGGTTTTGTATTAAGCATTAAACAAAAACAAAAAGAAAAAGAAACAAGCATGCAGGGAAGCTCTCAAAACACCACCTTTCCATTTACGGACCTGCCGAGGAACCCAGTATGCTCTCTATATGCAACCAGCATTTGGGGTAGACTAACTAGCAGGGAAGAGGAAAATCTGAGTTTCTGAGGCTGCTGGCTCAGAGCTGGCCAACCCCACAGGGGTACTTTTAAAGCAGATACTTGGGCCCCTTTCCAGGTGCTCTGAACCAGAACGCCCAGGGCGGAGCCCAGGAATGTTTGGGTCTGTTCTTTTATTTTTCTGAACAGTTACCACAAGAGATCTGGATCAGGGTGGCAGAAGGTGAAGGGTGGGTTCCCAACAAACAAAAGGCACCAAATAGAAGGTGGCCAGGAGCCTGGCTGGAGGAACAGGCCTGTAATCCTGGCTACTTATGAGGCCGAGGCGATGGTGGATCCTGAGTTCAAGGGCTTCCTGGACTCTGGAGTCAATTCAAAGAAGGCAATTTAGAATGAACCCTGATTCCACCAAAATGGCCACATGAAGGGAAGTAAGGGCAGTGCCCTGAGTCGGTTCAAGAGAAGCAAACTGAACAGAGAGGGACACTGAGGGATGGGGGACCTGCCCTGACAATGTCCATGCTGTCCCTTCCATCTGTGGACTCCAAGGACTTGGGCAAAGTGTGGGCTACTCCTCCTCCACACCTCACGTCTCAAGCTGCACACATGTGGAAATTCTCAGAAACCTAGGGAGTCCATAGGAGCAAGGCCTGTTCTTCTGAACACCTTAGCCCACAGCCAAGAGTTTCAGAAGAGACAACAGGTCAGAACCCCCAGGTCAGAGGCAGCCTCCAGGCACACTCTCACCTCTTCAGCCTCAGAAAGACTCTGAAGAAAGATGGGAGTATCATAAGGGACAGTCACACCAGGCCATTGGCTCTAAACGTCACTCATGCAAAGGGTATGCCGGGAAGCAGCTAGCAGGCTTTCAACCTCATCCCCTCCAACCCTGTGAGGTAATCATCAAACTCCTGCCACCGCGACGGACTGTGGCAGGCCCTAAAACCGGGCGAAACAAATCCTTCCTTCCTTAAAATGCAGGCATGTGGTCACAACGATGAGAAGAGTTAACCCCTCAACTTTAGAGAGGCGGAAATTCTCTCACTGTTCACATTAGACAGCTGATCCCAGAGAACAATGCGCCCCAAGTCCCACTGTTGTGAAGTGAAGCAGGCACAGGATCACCCCACAGCACTGGGGACCGAGAGATGAGCTCGGCCAATTCATCAAACCACCCAAGTCAAGCACATCCAGGGTGGAAAAAAAATTTGTCAGGCGCTGTCAGAAGGGAGTGAGGAAGAGGGGGACAGAGAGAAGGAGGAAAACCCAGCCTGGAGAAAACACATACACACAAAAAGAATAGAGAAAAACTTAAAACAAAAAAACTTAAAGAAAAAAAAAAAAGTGGAGCGGAACAAGAAGAGCAATACCAGACTCAGGAAATGAACTTTGGGCTAAAGAAACACAGCAGTGGCGAATGAATAGACACACCAGGGTTTATCAGATTTGACAAGGAAGGAGCAAGATAACCACAGGGCCAAAACAGGAACATGACAGAAGAGCATGCCAAGGACCTGGGCAGAGCTTGGGTGCCTGGCCACACTGCACAGATTTGCTCAGAAAACGCAAAGTTGCCCATGAGGAGAATGTTCTGACTGGCCCCAAACTGTCTCACCAAGGCCATATGGCAACCATGTTTGAAGGACAAAGGCATGACCTGGGAAGACCCTAGGCATGGAAAGTTTTCAGGCATTTGCAGGGAGAACTTTGGAAATTTAATCAGAAGGAAATGGGGGAATTGCTGAGGAACTAATGTGGCTGCTTCTTAGAGAGCCAGCAGACGGTGGGATGGCAATCCCACTCGACTGGTAACAATCCAGGCAAGAGACAACACTGACCTGGACCCAGAGGTGGCATACAGCCAACCAGAAGTGGCTGGGTCCTGGGTCGGCATGGAGAGTTGAGCGGAACATGTGTCCTGATGGCTTGGTGTGGAGAGCTCTGGGGCCTCTGTCCTAAGGCAGGAGAGGCCATGCACTCACAGGGGAGGTGAAGAGGTGGAAACGGCGTCAGGAGTTGCAGCTGCGCATGGATGCAGGCAGGCGTCGTTTAGAAATGCTTGTGAGAGTTTAGGTAAGCTGCTTCTGGAGTCTGGGAGAGAGGGACAGCTGGAGACACACATCTGGGAGTGATTGCTACATCCATGGGTGCTAAGGCCAGATACAGCTGTGGTCAAGGAGAGAGCACAGGCTAAGAGCAGAAACAAACAGAGCTGGATGCTGGGCACAGCAATGTTAAGGGCAAAGATAAACTCAGCGAGGCCAGAGGGACCCAAGAGACTGTCACTTGGTCTCCAGGAGAAAAGGATGCCTCCAAGGAGGACAAAGGACCACTTCCATGTCCACCAGACTTGTAGACAGGCCTCCACAGCACAAGGCAAAAGGGGACAGAGGCACCATAAGGAAACAAAAGGCACAAAATAAAGTAAGCCTGACTAGGTTGTGGTGTAGCACATCTATTCTCTCTCCCTCTTCCCTCTCCCTCTCTGGACGTCAGTCCTTCCACTAGACTCAGACCCACAGAGATCCACCTGGCCCTGCCTCCAGTGCTCAGCCAGGCAATGTAACTCACTTCCATGTGACTGGCAATGTATCAGGACGAGCCAGTGTGAGGCAGCCATTTGCTACCGAGACCTAGATAGGGTTCCAGAAACCGATCTGGACCCGGCCAGGAGGAAACATACTTTCTTGGTTTCTGTATTCCAGCTACTCAATGAAACCAAAATGTGTCATGCAAAGAGCGTTCCAATGCTAATGCTGAGGTGTTTACTTAGGCAAAAACAATGGCCCTGTGGTATCCTAAATCAGCCGAGGGTAACTTTGAACTCCTGATCTTCCTGCCTCCACCGCCACATCCAGGTTACATGGTGCTAGGGATGGAAGCCAGAGCTCCACGTGAGTAGGCAAGCCCTTTACCAACTAAGTCTCGTCCCCAGCCTTCTCTCAGCGATTTGATAATAGCTTTTGTTTCAAACAAATCCCTCAGATAACCTTAAAGGTTTGGAAAGCGTGTGAGCTTCCTGCCAGGAGAGGGAACATTGTGCAAGATATTTGTGCCTTTCAAACAGCGGGTTTCAAGGAACTAAAATTTCCTAAAGAATTTCATGTTGGGGTTAAAGAAGCCAGCTAGAAAAGCTAAAGCTGGGGTGGACTGGGCCAGCAAGATGGTTCAGTGGGTAATGGTACTTGCTGCATAGGCCTGGGGACCTGAGTTTGAACCCTGGAGCATGCAGAAAGGTGGAAAGAACCAACTCCATTTATGCTTCAGCATGCAAGTGTGCACACACAGAGACACACATTCCACACACACACACACACAAACTCCACACCCCTATTCACAGTTCACACTCATTTCACATACACATCACACTCACTCACACACACTCGACACACATACTTCACACACACAAGCTGACTGGTATTGAGACATCTGACAACTCATCCTCCCCCTGCCAGGCCTGCTTAGCCCAGCGTACTCCTGCTTTCCGTTTAAACGACCCTCCAGGACCCACAGACGACCTTGGAGGCCTCACTGAGTAAATCTTTCCCTGTGTTTTACTCCGACTTATCTCTCTAACGGGTGTGTTGGGGACAAGCAGCTGGGACTGACTTGTGGGAACCTCCAGGATCCAGGCTCTGACCCTAAAAATCTGCTCTACAACAGGACCACTCACGCTACTGGAGAGTGAAGGTGTGCAAACACTAACCAGCTCAGGTACTTCTACAGCCAGGCAGAGGTTCACTCCGTGATCGCAGCCCTGATCCCACAGTGAAGAAAGAGAAGGGCTCAGATATGCACCAGGGGCGGGGTGCTAGGCTGGCGACACGGCTCAGAGTAAAGGTGCCAAGCCTGAGCTCAGTCCTGGAAACTGACATGGTGGGGAGAGCCCACTCACTGAAGGCAGCCTTTGACCTCACATGATGCTAGCAGCAGCATGTCCACCTCCTCCACACATACAGTAAATAAATAAGTAAAACTTAAAAGAAAAAAAAAGGGACCAGCATGCAGGGAGAATTTTGGTTTCTTTAAAACACACACACACTCACACAGAGAAATATTATAAGGATATGTTTTCTTTTTTCTGTTCTTTCTTTCTTTTTTCTTTTCTTTTTTTTTTTTTTTTTTTTTTTTTTTTTTGAGTAGCCCTGGCTGTCCTGAAGTCACTTTGTAGACCAGGCTGGCCTTGAACTCACAACCAGCCTTTGCCCTCTGCTGGGATTACAGGCATGGACCACCGCTCTGGGCTTATGTTTTCATTTTAGTCTCAGGTGTGGGGAAATGGAGCTGCTTCACAGCAGAGGACTACGATTTACCTAGCACTCTAGCAGAGGGGGGAAGGGGGGGGGGGGGGAGGAGGAGGGAGGAGGAGGGAGAAGGAGGGAGGAGGAGGGAGGAGGAGGGAGGAGGAGGAAGAGGAAATTATCCTGACTATGAAGATCAACTTGCCCCAAGGAGCACAATGGCCCTAATCAGCAGGAAGTACTCTAAGATACCATCTCCCTCTTTCCTCTCTATCCTTTTTTCTCTCCTATCGGTGTTAGGGGCTTGAAAGGGAAGAAGAAAAAGGGTTGAGATGGGTGGAAGACAGAACAACCCACGAAGTAGCACACACCGGTTGCCGGTCACGCCAGCGCGGGTGGGAACAAGCACTTGCTGAGTGACAGGACAGAGGAGCTGTGGAAACCCACACAGCAAAACGTTAAACAGCAATGAAAGCACAGTGCAGTGCAGTGTGCAGATCCACAGTGCAGACGAACCTCTCAACCGAGTGGAGCCAAGGATCATAGCCAAGGATCATAGCCAAGGCCCGCATCCACAGGAGACTCAGCAGGCTCCACAGATCCTGGGGAGCGTGGGCTAGTCCAGGGCCCTCCACGGGGGGTCCGTGTGCCTCTCTATACACATGAGGCCAGGTGCAGAGGACAGGGTGATGAGGGTGAGGGGTAGGATGGGGTGAGGGTGGGAGTCAGGCCCTGGCTTCAATAGGAAGCACTGCAAAATGAACCAGAATACAGTACAGGAAATGAAAACACACCAAAACATAGTACCTAAAGGCAGGGGGGGACTTGAGTCCAGAGTGGTGGCACATGACACCTACAATCCCAGCATTCAGGAGGTAGAGGCAGGAGAGCCAGGAGCTAAGGGCCAGCCTCCACTACAGAGTGAGTTCAAGGCTAGCCTAGGTTACACGAGACCTTGTCTCAAACAGAAAAACTGAACAAACAAAAAGTAGTAAGTTTTTAAAATTTTTCTGTCTTATAAATATTAATTTTCTATATTAAAAACAGCTATCTCCAATGACATATTACTTTACAAGAAAAGATCTCTCTCTCACACACACACACACAGTGAAATGAGAATAGAAATCATGCTTGTGTCTGTTGCATCTGGCTGGTGAGATGGGGGAGGGGGGCTTGCCATGAAGCCTGATGATAAGAGTTCAATCCCTAGGACCCACACCATGGAAGGAGCGAAAACCAACTCCTTGGGTTTCATTCAGACTTCCACACACACCATGGCACACACTCCCCTGCCCTACAAATAAATAAATGTAAAGAAAAAAAATTTACTGAGAAGAGAAATGAAGCACAGCACCACAGCCATCTTTGTGGGCTGCCTTACCTGAGTTGCTTGGCATAGTTGAGCTCAATCTCAGTTCTCTCCTTCACAAACTTGATGTATTTCTCAAGAATATCGATTCCCCACTGAGTGTGTTTTTCTAAGTTGTCAAACTGATCCTGTTTGGAAAGAGAGAAAGGGGGAAGTTTATTGTCTCTTTCTATGGCTACCAGTTCCAGGGAGCAGCCCTCTTCATCATCCACCGGTCCAGGAGAGTGGCCCGAACATTTTCCATTTTCTGTTGAGAGCTTTACATCAACATTACCAAATTTGGTTTGAGCATGGTCCCCAGTTAGACTCTGTGACCCGTTCACCCCCTGCTCTCTCTTCCTTTCAGACACATGACTTCTATATATAATTAATGTTCCATTACAAAGGAAAGGGTCTCAGGTGCCAAAACCTGACAGGTGAAACACACACACACACACACACACACACACACACACACACACACACACACGCGCACGCGCGCGTGCGTGCTCTCGCTCTAGAGCAGAGAGGGCAACTGCTGCTCTTGCAGAGGGCCGGAGTTTGTTCCTCAGCCCACAGGTGTGACTCTAGCTCCTGGGGATCAGAAAGCCTTCCAGACTCCCTACCTTCGCACACATGTGCAGACACATACACAATAAAATAAAAAAGAATTTCTTACATTTGTTTTATGTACATGGGTGCTTTGCCTGTGTGTGCCTGGTACCATGCAAACCAGAAGGTCCCAGATCCCTGGATCCAGAGGTACAGGCAGTAATGAACGGTTATATGGGGCTAGGAATTGAACTCTGGTCCTTTGGAAAAGTAGCTAGTGCTTTTGACTGCTGAGCCATGCCCTCTCATTTTTTTTTTTTTTTTTTTTTTTTTTACTATTTTTAAATTTTATTTTATGTACGTTGGAGTAAAGGTGTCAGATCCCTTGGAACTGGAGTTACAGACAGTTGTGAGCTGCTATGTGGGTGCTGGGAACTGAACCTGGGTCCATTTGGAAGAGCAGCCAGTGCTCTTAACCACTGAGCCATCTCTCCAGCACCCACCATCCTTTTTGTTGAGACAGGGTCTCACTCTATAGCCCTGGCTGACCTGGAACTCACAGAGATCCACCTGCCTCTGCCTCAGAGATTCTGGGATTAAAGCTGTGCAGCACCACATCCCCCACCCCCTTTTTTAAAGAAAGAACCAGCTGCTTGACCTTGGAGAAAGGAAGAGGTAGGGGAAGAGTTATGAAATATGGATTTTTCTTTTTTAAATTAATTAATTTTTTAATTACAATTTGTTCATTTTGTCTCCCAGCTGTGGCCCCCTCCCTCTTCCCCTCCCAATCCCACCCTTCTTCCCTCTTCTCCTACCATGCCCTGTCCCCAGTCCACTGATAGGAGAGGTCCTCCTCCCCTTCCATCTGACTCTAGCCTATCAAGTCTCATCAGGGCTGGCTGCATTGTCTTCCTCTGAGGCTGCCCCCCCCCCCAGGTGATCAAAGAGCCAGCCACTGAGTTCATGTCAGAGACAGTCTCTGTTCCCATTATTAGGGTACCCACTTGGAGACTGAGCTGCCATGGGCTATATCTGTGCAGGGGTTCTAGGTTATCTCCATGCATGGTCCCTGGTTGGACTATCAGTCTCAGAAAAGACCCCTGGGCCCAGATATTTTGGCTTTGTTGCTCTCCTTGTGGAGCTCCTGTCCCCTCCAGGTCTTTCTATCTCCCTCTTCTTTCACAAGATTCCCTGCACTCTACCCAATGTTTGACTATGAGTCTCAGCCTCTGCTTCGATACCCTGCTGGGCAGAGTCTTTCAGAGGCCCTCTGTGGTAGGCTCCTGTCCTGTTCCCTGTTTTCTCCCTCTTCTGATGTCCATCCTGTTTGCCTTTCTGAATGAGGATTGATCATCTGCTGGAGAAGATGTGGAGAAAGAGGAACCCTCCTCCATTACTGGAGGGAATGCAAACTTGTACAACCACTTTGGAAATCAATCTGGTGTTTTCTCAGACAATTAGGAATAGTGCTACCTCAAGATCCAGCTATACCACTTCTAGGCATATATCCAAAAGATGCTCAAGTACACAACAAAGACATTTGCTCAACCATGTTCATAAAAGCTTTATTCATAATAGCCAGAAGCTGGAAACAACCCAGATGTCCCTCAACTGATGAATAGATGCAGAAATTGTGGTACATTTACAAAATGGAATATTACTCAGCAATTAAAAAAAAAAAACAGGAAATCATGAAATTTGCAGGCAAAGGGTGGGAACTAGAAAGTATCATCTTGAGTGAGGTATCCCAGAAGCAGAAAGACATACATAGTATATACTCACTTATAAGTGGATATTAGACATAGAATATAGAATAAACATACTAAAATCTGTACACCTAAAGAAGCTAAGCAAGGAATACCCTGGGTAAGAAACTTGGCTTTTTCAAATGAGTAAAAATAGCTCAATATGGACTTCGCTGTACACTATGTGCCACAAACAGTGGTTGGACCCAGGGAACCAAAACTGAGCAGAATTAGACCACACCTGTACAGCAGCTGGGCGTTTCTGCTTTGAAGAGCAAGACAGGTAGGTGTGCCAGCCACTGATGCATAGCTGTAAAGACGGCCTGGGCAGGTGAGGGTGGGAGGGCAGCAGGGCATGGGCAGAGGTGATGAAACTGGAGACAGTGGAGGATCAGATTGTCCAAGGTCTTCGATGCACACTGAAGGAGCTTGGACTCTCTAGGAAGTACACTCTGCTCTTGCGGGACCACAGATCTGTACGGAGTCACAGGAGATAGAAGCCAGGAGACTATCCTGGGAGTCTGAAAACGAGAGCCGGAGGAAGCCATTGAGGCCAGGAGACTATCCTGGGAGTCTGAAAACGAGAGCCGGAGGAAGCCATTTTGGAGACACTTTGCAAATGCTACTGACAGGTCGGCTGCAGACTCTGAGGGAGACTAGAGCAAAGGGGAGGGACTTGGGTTCTGTTTCCTGTGCATAAAGTAACAGTCCACACAGGGAGGAAGACTCAGTGCAGCTTGGCCATGCGAATCGAGGGTTTAGTGTGCCTAGCAGAGCCTGGAAGCACAGATGGATGTTCAGGGAGTGGACGGATCTGAAGCGCCAGCCACAGATCGGAGTGCCAGAGGGCGGGCAGCACTACACAGGAGCAGCAGGGAGGACCGGCCCAGGAAGTGGAGCCTGAGAGCTGTGGGAGAGAGCCAGGGCAGTGGAAAGGAGCCAGGGAATGCATTAGAGCATCCCAGGAAGCGTCCTGAGCCAGGTCAGATGGGAGGCGTGTTGCTGCCTCAGAGGGAACCTCAGAGGGGGCAAGGCTCTGGCCAGCCACAGGACTTCAGTGACACCGGCCAACGGCTCTGCCCTGGGTGGCTAGTGTGCCCAGATCCCTGCCTTATTTCACTAAGACAGGCAAGGTAGGGTGAATGCATAAATGACACACTGCAGCTGTTCCTTCCAGCTTTGGGGCTGGGCTCAGTTTGTGGAGTGCTTGTCAGTGCACATGAAGCCCTAGGGTTCCATCTCCGGCCCCGGACAAGCTTGTGTGTGGCAGCACATGCCTGCAATCGCGGCACTCAGAAAGAGGAGGCAGGAGGATCAGAAGTTTAAGGTCGTCCTCGGCTACAGAGCAAATTTGAAAACAGCCTGGTCCACATAAATGCCATCTCAGAGATGGCCCAGTGGTTAAGGACTCTCAGCATCCACTTTGCCCCATGTAACTTCAACTCCAGGGGATCTGAGGCTTCTGACCTCCATAGGCACTGTACCTACGAGCCCAAACCCATACTCCTGAACATACACATATAAATAATAATGAAAAAAAAAATCTTTTAGCCAGGCATGGTGGCATAAGCCTTTGATCCTAGCACTCGGGAGGCAGAGGTAGGTGCATCTCTGTGAGTTCAAGGCCAGCCTGGCCTATAGTTCCAGGACAGCCAAGACTATGCGAAGAAACTGTGTCTCAACCCCACCTACCCCAAAATAAATGAATAAACAAACAATAATATTTTCTTCTTAAAGAGGCTATACATCTTTAGAGCTGAGACAGGAGGACCACGTGAACCCAGGAGTTCAAGGCCATCCTGAGCAATATAGTGAGACGCTCAACAACAAAAGCTATACACATTTAACGTATATAACCAAGAGTCTGAAGGTAAGTGTAACCCATGTGACCAATCATCCCCACCATCTACCCCACAAATACATAGTTACCCCTTCTAAAAGCTTCCTCTTGTCTTCTGATTCCTTGTGTGTGAATCAACCTTTTCAAACACAACACAGCATTGTTGAACGCTGGGGCTGAGCTGTGTTTTCAGCTCGCTTTTTGTATCAACCTTGAGTCTATCAGAGTCATGTGTCCTAATTTCCTTCCTGTTGCTGTGCTAAAACACCCTGACCAGAGGCAGCGGACTAGAGAAAGTGTAGGATTCAGCTGGCACTCCAGGTCATAACCCATCATTGAAGGAAGTCAAGGCAGGAATTCAAGGAGGAACTTGAAACAAAACCATGGAGGAATGCTGCTTGCCAGCTTTCTCAGAGACTCATGTTTGGCTAGCTTTCTTATACGGTCTGGGACCACCTGCCTAGGGAATGGTGCTACCCACAGTGGGCCGGACCCTTCTAACTCTGCTAACAATCAAGACAAGCATCCATAATCATGCCCACCAGCCAATCTTGTCGGGGGCATTCCTTCAACTGAGACTCTCTGCTCAGGTGACACTGTGTCGAGCTGACAGTTACTGCTGAGATGAATGGATTACAGTCCCCATATCTAGCTGAACTGCCTTTGCCTTGCTTCCAGGCAGGTGCACAGAACAAATTAGCATCAATTTAGGACACTGGAGTCTTCTGCCTCTAAAATGACTCTCAGTGAAGACAGCCCCTGTTTTGTTTTGTTTTTTCGTTTTGTTTTTTAAAATCTATCCTTACCAGCAATCTTTTAAAATGTTGTCATAAAAAACAAGGGACAAAGACTTAAAATTCTCAGCTCTTTTTAGTCCTCAATCTATCCCACAGCCCTCCCAGATACCAGTTTAAGAGCCAGTGCTCAGAAGGTTATTTATTTATGGTATCTCTACAGAGGAGGCTTGTTGAGCAAATGAACAGGGTAAACAAGGCGGCAGCTCTCTGTAAAC